TTATATTGTCAAAACCTTTTTTCTTTTCTCTTTATTTCCTTAAATCTTTCTCTTCTCTTAATTATTATTATTATTATTATTATTGAGTTACAGATTGATTCATTTTCTACGACTTATCAATTTTTTGCAGTTTATTTAAAGTTAAAACGTATTTTTAGCTTTTAAGAACTTTTTTGAGATAATAATGATTTAGTGATAAAAGTCTTACTAATTAATCCATAGCGAGGGGAAGAAGAGGTGGATTCATACCTTTCCCAATGGTATTTGCACGTAAGTGAATATAACGAATTCAACGGGAATTGGAACTCGGCTCTTCAATTAAAAATTCCGAGCCGCTATCCATTGCACCACCGTCAGATCCAAGCATACACCACTTGGTATTCTCAAGGGGCCACCCATCTACAGGCCGCTATGGGTAAATTATCGCCATTTTATATTTTTAACTTCGCGCATGCGCGTCGATTGTTTTTCATTTTGTCGACTGCGCAGTATAGTTGGGCACCGTCTGTTACAAAAAGATCACCATGTCGCAATTCAATCAGCCAGAAATTTGGAAACGGCATGCTGTAATTTTTGGCATTCGTGCCGGAAGCTCCAATACGAACATTTCAGAGTGTTTGGGCGTCAATCTGTGGATAGGACACAAGATTCAAAAAGAGTTGGATGATATATCTAGTCACCATCATGGTGTTTGGAGTGATCACTAGTGATGGCGATGCTATGCCTCCATTCATCTTCCCAAAGTGCCTCAGACTAAACACGGAGGCCTACATCAAGTGAATTGAGAAGGTAGTACTATCATGGGTCAAGAATGTGGCTGGTAGAAGACCTTATGTCTGGCAACAGGACTCTGTACCATGCCACACAAGTAGCAGAACCCAGTCATGGCTGTCAGACAATTTCTGCGATCACATCACCCCTTACATCTGACCACTTAACTCCCCTAACTGCAACTCCCTTGATTATTATGTGTGGGGGCGCAGTTAACGAGAAACCATAGAAACTCATTGTAACATCGAAATGAAGGCAAGGACTATATGGGCATTCACCAATATAAACAGGGAGACCGTCCAGAAAAGTTGTAGAAGATTCTGAAGTCGTCTGGAGGCCATAGTTGAAGCCAATGGCGATTTTATTGAATACATTTACTCTTTAGTATTTCAAGATATTTTTGTGTAATTTTGGTAAGTATATCTGTTAGAATGAGATGTCAGTGTTATTTTCATTTTTACATCGTTTAGGCGACAATTTATCCATCTCACCCTGCATATCTGTTAAAATGAGATGCCAGTGTTATTTTCATTTTTGCATCATTTCGACGACAATTTAACCATCGCATTCTGTATACACACACATACTACAAGAGTTGTTACGAACCATTGTCACAGTTGTCTCATTTTCAATACCTCGAGAAGATAGGATTGTCTCTTTCAATATGGCTTGTGTACCGAGAGAAAGCCTGTAGAACTTAAAAATTGTAACCTATAAATTTATAATATTTGAAGATAGGCTGATAAAGATGATTAATGAGAAAATTGTGTTAGTGAGCATTTTGTTTGTAACATTAAAAATACAAAATTTATAGAGTGCGATCGCTAAATTGTCGCCATTTTATCTTTTACATTTCACGCATGCGCGTTGGTTGTTTGTTTTATTTTGTCGACTGCACAGTATAATAGATTAAGTTGGGCACCATTTATAAGAGAAAGAGCACCATGACACAATTCACTTCACCAAAAATTTGGAAACAACATGCCGTACTGCTTAGCATTCGCGCCGGAAGCTCCAATACGAACATTTCAGAGTATTTGGGTGTTAATCTGAGGATAGTGCAGAGGATTCGGAAAGAATTGGATGAGTGATTACGAAGGCAGGGCAGCTCGGAAAACTGATCGTTCTGATAAAAAAGAATTCCTGGATTTGTTGGTGAGGGCCTCAGTCTCAACACGGAGGCCTACATCGTGTCTTGAGGAGGAAGTGCATCATATAGACGACAATTTATCCATTATTAGATTAAGATATTTTCTGTCAAGAAAAAAATGGCGAGCACGACATAGGGAACTTACTTTTCCTAGCAGCAGACTAGTTGATTCAATATAATCTTTCTATTTCCTATCAGTGGAAAATGTTATCCCGGACAGGCGCAATGAGTTACTTTCCTGAGAGTTAGTATCGGCCATGCGGATGGAAAGCAAAAAAAAGGTTCTCTCAGACGATTAAAAAGGAACAGTTTCGTTTTGGAGTCATTGCCCCAGTTAACAACAGATTATAGTTTGTTTTTTTGTTTTTTTTTAGATCAGCTGCCAATTTGACTTTATCGAATCAATCAATATTTACTATTAAAACAGATTAATATAAATGTATATATTCAAAGCATGGACGAATGGTAGACTTATAGATACGTACGATAGATTCTGGAGAGAAAAATTGTCTGGCACAACAGAATGAACCAACTTTCCTAGAAGCAGACTTAGCAATTGATTCAATATAATCTTTTCACTTCATTTATTTCCTAAAATCTCGTCAAAGGTGGCAACATTACGGCGGTGGGAAACGAGGACGAGACGCAGGACCAATGATATTGCTGATTCTTCTTTGGATTTTATCGAGGATCTTTAAATATATAACAGGAGCATCAGACCATAAGTGGCAACAATATTCTACACATGGACGAATGTTAGACTTATAAATATGTAAGACAGATTCTGAAGAGAAAAATTGTCTCGCACGTGACAGTGAAACAACTTTCTTAGCTGCAGAAGTCAAACAACTTAAAACTATAACGTCTTATTACTACGAGGTGGAAACAAGCAAGAGAAATAAGATGAAAGAAAGACGAATCAAAAATTAATAATAATGACGATGTTTCATCTAAGAAATTAAAACAACTTAAGACTATTACGTCTTATTACTACGAGGTGGAAACAAGCAAGAGAAATAAGATGAAAGAAAGACGAATCAAAAATGAATAATAATGACAATGCTTCATCTAAGAAATTCAAACAACTTAAGACTATTACGTCTTATTACAACGATGTGGAAACAAGCAAGAGAAATAAGATGAAAGAAAACGAACGAATAAAAAATGTAAAAAATCAAACAATAATGTCTTATTACAAGGAAACAAGCAAGAGAAATAAGATGAAAGAAAGACGAATCAAAATTAATAATGAAATGCTTCATCAAACAAACAACTTAAGACTATTACGTCTTATTATTACTACGAGGTGGAAAAACAAGAGAAATAAGATGAAAGAAAGACGAATCAAAAATGAATAATAATGACAAAATCTAAGAAATTCAAACAATAAGACTATTACGTCTTAAAGATGGAAACAATCAAAAATGAAAAGAAAGACGAACAAAAATTAATAATAATGACAATGCTTCATCTAAGAAATTCAAACAACTTAAGACTATAACGTCTTATTACTACGAGGTGGAAACAAGCAAGAGAAATAAGATGAAAGAAAGACGAATCAAAAATTAATAATAATGACAATGCTTCATCTAAGAAATTCAAACAACTTAAACAACTTATTTAAGACTATTGAAAGAAAAGTCTTAATTATCTATGAAATTCAAACAACTTAAACAAGTCTTATTACTAGAGAAATATGATGAAAGACGAGACAAAAATTAATAATAATAACAATGCTTCATCTGATGAATTCATTTACTTTTGTGAGTATCCATATTTTAGCATTTTTTTCTGTTATTGTAAAAGTATTTCCAAACGACAATAAATCTGCAATGGGTCTTTTATCTTCTATTATTTATTTTTTTGCTTAAAATGCGATTCATAAATTGTTTGGTGACAGTTATTCTTTAAGGAATAAATCGCACATATTTAGAGTAGCGAATTCTTTTATTTGCTTCCCGTCGAATATCTGTTAGTTTGTATCGAGTTATTGCCCTTGTCTCCTAGGAGATCTCTTATTAAGCTATGTCCCCATTCGTTCCATCAGGTTGTCAGCGTAGCATTCTTCATCGTAAATGAAAATACCGCAAAAACAGTACCGGCATATGTCGTGGTAAATTCCATCAAGGAAAAGTTTAATCAACCTCACAATTCCTTTCTTCATCATTTTAACGAGCATGCTACTAACATAGTTCTCTCAGCCATGTTGAAAAGGAACAAGCAGACGACACGAAATAAATCACTTCATAAACTCGCAAATGCGTTGTATCACCATGAGAGATTGGCGCGTTTCTACACCCTCTTCAAAGAACAATCGGAAATATCTGTTTTTCAAAGTGTTGAACACAGTTATTAGGTTGCAAGAGAAGCATTTAAAGAGTGCGTTGGTTTGGCATTGGAACTTCTTCAAAGATACCATCAGTGGTCAGCGGTGTATGGGGTGTATCGTCAGTATGTAGCGAAGCAGGCAACCCTGCTTTATTCAGTTAAATTGTGATGCGAGATTGTTCTAGTTCACAGCCTCGCATCCAACTCCCACACATGGCTCCCAGAAATCGTATGGGCACCGCTACGGCCACACACCCAGATACAACAGTCTGTAAGGGTAGTAGGAAAGTTTTCCCGAGCCGACTGGTGAAGGAGTACCACTCTCTCACAAAACCACGTGCCACGTGGCCATCGCCCAGTCGCTGGCCTGGGCGTAGGAGATGCACCTCTGAGATTTACGGCGTGGTAGAGAATAACCTTAACAATCCTGCTGTAAAAGAAACCGGTAAACCATTGCGCCATTTTGCTTTGAATGTTACCATGAACCACAGGGAAGTGGTGACCACTGCAGCGCAAAATTAAACTCTGATGATGTTTTTGAAAATGTGAAATCTTTCGAGCCGATAAAAACTGTACATCTTTTGCATTTCTATTAAATAGGTTAAATTCTACAATAAATTTTAATTTCAGAAACTTCAGAAGTACTTCTTAGCGCGAAAAATTTAAAAGATGAGATAACATTATTAGCAACACTCATTGCAACTGCCAAACAATGAAACGACTTCAACATTAATGATTACGGCAACATTAAGTTGAAACGCCAGTTCCCGTACGATGACAGAAGTTAAGTAACGTAGGGCCTGATCATTAACTTCATGGGTGACCACTTGAGAATACCAGGTGTTGTAAACTTGGATCTTCGGGTGGTGTAATGGATAAATGCTCGGAATTGTTAATCAGAGAGCTGAGTTCCAATTCCAGCTGGGTCCATTATATTAACTTAGGCAAAAATACCCTTGGGAAAAGTATGAATTTACTTCTTTACTCCACGTTATGGATTAAATAGTAGGACCTTTATCATTAAATCAGAAAAACAAGCAAGAGAAATAAGATGAAAGAAAGACGAATCAAAAATTAATAATAATGACAATGATTCATCTGAGAGATCCAAACAACCTAAGAATTATTACTACTAGATGAAGACTATATATATATATATATGTGTGTGTGTGTGTATGTATGTATGTATGTATGTATGTATGGGGGATAGTATGTCGCCATACTATATGAAGAAGAAAAAGATATGAAGAAAAATCCTTTTTACACTTTTCCTTCTTTTAAACCCCTCACCCACTGAACCGATTTTTCCAGTTAATCCTTTTTACTTTGACTCTATGTCAGACATGTATGTCATATTCTATAAAATCCACTCTCAATATAGAATCTGTTAAGATTACCAGTTTTCAAGTAGTGATTATCAATCTGCTTAAAAGATTTTAACAGTTTAAGAGTGAGCGAGTGGGAGAGGGAGAGAGAGTATGTTGCACGATCCGGCCTTCTTCAAATTATTATAATTTCGAACTAAACCCTTTATTTCGTCCACAGAGTAAGATTGTTCTAGTTCATCGTGCCATGCCTCTTCTTGTCATCTAAGTAGCAGTTATCTCGTTTTCAATTTTCAGTTATCTCTTCAAGTTTTTGTTCCAATCACATGAAGAAGGCCTGAGCGTACAATGACCGAAACGTCGTGAATATGGCATCGAAGCTAAGGATAACAGTCCGAACAATGTAAATAGTGTAGATAATTACAATAACCTCATCTAAGAAATATAGACAAATCCTGAAGAAGGCCGGAGCCTACAACGGCCAACACGTCGAGAATATGGCAACGAAGATGAGGGCAACAGTCCGAACACTGTAAACTGCCTCAAGGAATCCTGTTTTCCTGACTGCTGGAAGTCCTCATCCATTGTTCCTGTGTTTAGGAACTCTGAAGACCCCTCTGACCCCTCTAATTACCGTCCTATTAGTCTCCTACCCCTCTTCGGCAAAGTCTTCGAAGCCCTAATCCATGCCGAAGTGGTTAATCACCTTACATCCCATAATCTGCTCTCAGACAAGAAATATGGTTTCCGCTACGCCCGATCTGCAGCTGAGGTGCTTACGGCCATCACTGAAACCGTCTACCAAGCCCTTCAAAATAACGGTGAGACTCGTGCCGTGGCCCTAGACATCTCCAAAGCATTCGATAGGGTTTGGCACGCCGGCCTTCTTCGTAAGCTCCAGGGTTATGGTATTACTGGTCGACTGTTTGATCTAATACAATCATTCCTGTCAAACCGAGAATTGAAGGTCGTTCTCAACGGATTCTCCTCCAGTTCCTATCCCACGAACGCAGGTCGTTCTCAAAGCTTCATCCTTGGCCCCACTCTTTTCCTTATTTTCATCAATGACCTTCCTGACGCCATAGATTCCCAAGTTGGCATCTACGCAGACGACACTACAATTTACTCCTGCCTCAAAAACAAATCTAGTGTCGGCGACAAAACTAACCTGGCCGTGCGTCTTGAAATGGACCTCCAATCGGTTGTTAACTGGGGCAAGAATTGGCTGGTCAACTTTAACGCCTCAAAAACTAAATTACTCTCCATTAACCACCATAGAGATCCTTGATTAAAATGTCTGATAGTCAACTTCCTGAGAGCAACTCCCTGCGTCTGCTCGGTCTCACGCTGACTGCTGACCTGAGATGGAACAAATACATTGAGTCAATTGCTTCTTCCACCGCGAGGAAATTTGGCTCTCTGTGCCGCGCCAGGAAATTTTTCTCCCCTGAATCGATACTTCAAATATACAAAACAACCATTCGTCCTTGCATGGAGTATTGCTGCCATATATGGGCTGGAGCACCTTCTGTTTACCTCGGAGTTCTTGACAAGATCCAGAGACGGATATGTAATCTAATTGGCCCTGATCTGGCGTTTCGTCTGCAGTCACTCTCTCACAGACGCGCCGTCGCCTCTTTCTGTCTTTTCTACAAATACTTTCATGGTAATTGCTCCGATGAGCTGTTTTCACTGGTCCCCAGACTCCATGAATTCAAGCGCCCTACGAGGCTGGCATCCCGCTCTCACCCTTTCACTGTAGAAACTTTTAAGTGTAGCCGTCTCTTCTACTTCAATAGCTTCATACCTCGCACCTCTCGCCAGTGGAACACCCTTCCCAATTACTGTTTCCCTGAAAGCTATAATCTCCAACTATTCAAATGTAATGTCAATCGACACCTCCAGTTACCTTGATCTATCCACTATCCTTCTCCTCATCCTTTCTTCTATCACCCCTATCCGCTCTCACTCCAAATCTTCCGCAACCCCCTGCATCCTAGTGGCTTCACACCTTGCTCGGGGCGTAATGCTTAAAAAAAAAATAATTAAAATACCACATCTTAGAAATATAGATAGATCCTGAAGAAGGCCGAAGCGTACAACGGCCGAAACGTCGTGAATATGACAAGAAAGATGAAGACAATAGTCGAAACAATGTAAATAGCGTAAATCATTACAATACCTCATCTCAGAAATATAGACAGATAGAAAGAGAGAGAAAAAGAGAAAGAGAGAGAAAGAGAGAAAGAGAGTGATGTGGAATTTTCTTCTGATTCAAGCCAAAGACATCAAGCTTATTATGGATGTCACTACTCATATGTGATTAGAAGGGTCAATCCGAATGCTATGAGCGTCTTAATACAGAAATATATCTACTACCGAATAAACCTCCCAAGAAATATATGGACTACATTGCAAAGCTTTAGGATTACGGTTTATTTCACGACCCTTCTAGTTAAGATGACTGGGAGAGAAAATACGGCAACCTGAATGAGCATGTACTAATGCAATGCAAAAGATTTCTTTTAAAAATGACATCTTAGTTGTATTTCAGTGTTTAAACAAGGTCTTGGAAAATCTTTTACTCATATAAATTTAAAAATGCATAGCATCATTATTCAGTTATTTGACTGGCTGTCGATGACCTTGGCCCACATTTCAGCTAAATGGTGCATTCTATTATACAGTGTAACCCGGATATAAGAGAGTTGTCGGGACCGGAGAAGAAGTCTCTTATATCCGGGTTTCTCTTATATCCGGGTTTCTCTTATATCCGGGTCTCTTATATCCGGGTTACACTGTATTAGATCGATGCAAAAGTTTCCAGTATTTTGTTTTACAACAATATGTCTTTTTTTTTAAAATATAAATTCATAGCATCATTATTCAGGGATCAAAGTATTTTCCCGGGGCTTTCTGTAATCCATCGCCACTTTTCGTGATATTACATTGATGCAAAAGTTTCTAACATTTTTTACAAAATCAAGAGTATTGTGCGTCTGTGTGTGCGTATCCATATGTGTGTATGTTTATGTGTGCGTGTGTGTCTATGACTGTCTGTCTATGTGCGTCTGTCCGTCTATGTGTGTCTATGTGCCTCTCTGCGTGTCTGTTTGGTTTGGTTTGTTTTACGGCATATCAACTTCAATGGGTTATTTAATGCCGACAAGATTTTTATTGCTGGCAATATTTTGAATTTTAAATTTATTGCTGGTAAAAATTTTGCTTTCAAAAATCTATTTCTGGTAATATTTTTTCTTCAAAAATGTATCGCTTGTAATTTTTTTTCCAAAAAAGTATAGCTGGTAATATCTTTTTTCAAAAATGCATTGCTTGTAATAATTTTTTCTTCAAAAACTTATTGCTAGTAATAACTTTTTTTTACAAAGTATTTCTGGTATTAAAACCTATTTTTAGACTTTCATAGGGTTTTCGCCCCAGTTTGGGGGTTAACTATTTGCCCATAGCTGGGACCCAAACAGGTGCTACCACCCTGGGTCAGGGTGGATCTGAAAACACCAACAATTAAGAGGTGGTTCCACGCTCCTCAAAACCTCCAGAGGCCTTGCTGTTGGACGTAGTTTATCTTCTTACCCAGGACGGCTGTGGGTGTCTGTGTGTCTGTCAGTGCGTCTATATGTGCCTGTGTGTCTATGAGTGTCTATGTGCGTCTGTGTGTTTTTTTATGTGTATCTATGTGTGTCTGTGAGTGTGTGCGTGTCTGTGTGTCTACGTGTGTCTGTGTGTATCGGTGTACGTGCCAGTGTGTCTATGTGCGTCTGTCCATCTATATCTGTGTGTCTGTGTGTGTCTGTGTGTGTCTGTGTGTGTGTGCGTGTCTGTGTGTCTATGTACGTCTCTGTGTCTGTGTCTGTGTGTCTATGTGCGTCTGTATGTGTGTGTGTGTGTGTGTGTGTGTGTTTCTGAGACAATCCTCAAGTAGAATGTTCCTATGAAACATTTTGTAAAACTTTTGTGAAAACTAAGATATGAATCGAAGATGCAATAACCATTAATTTATAGTTGAAAAAAAAACCCCAAAACAAACTGTTCACTGTTCCCAGGTCCAAAATAAAATCTGAACATTTTGGCCACGATCTTCAATGCTGCAATGTTACCCCCCCCCACACACAAAAAGACTTTAATTTTAAAAGAGCCCATAGGTTCAGGGCAGTTTTGAGTGTCAACAAAAGCCTGTGAACCTCAGCATTCGATATTGAAATATACAGGCATGCAATTTTATTGCGGTGATTAGGAAGGAGGTCTTGGAACGCATAAAATTGTTTCTAATGTAAATTTATGTTAATCTATCTCTCACATTACGCTCTTTCGGATAGCGAGGAAAATATGTACGCCTTCCACAAAAGAGAAGTAACATAAAACAAACGTTCGGAAACCGGGGGTGGAGCTGTATTTCATTAGTAACTAACAGAATATATATATATAAATATACACATATATATATATATATATATATATGTGTGTGTGTGTGTGTGTGAGGAAAAAGACAATAGGAAAACTTGT